ACTAGTTCAGTGGTGGCTCAGCTACTGGAATTAATGAGTCTTGGAAAAAAAACAAACCGAAACAAAACACTTCCTCTTTATTTAAATCAACATGAATTCACTACTGTTAGGAGGGCAAGGACAGAAAGCAAGGAGACATTTTGTTTCTTTTGTTCGCTTGTGTGAAAGGATCCCATGACACAGTAGTAACTGCATTTCTTTTGAAGTCCTGCCTCCCTTTGAGACATAGTTCTCTCAAGTGTGCTTCTGCAATTCAGTAAGCTCCTGTGACATCTTCTCCAGTCCCCACAAGCACATAGTGCTGTAGTTGAGCTAACCATGTCAGGCTTATTCTCTGAAAACCAAGATTCTTCTTCCCCCCACACTTCGCCTGCCCCAAATATATTTATTTTCCAAAAGTAAAAAGACTTTCCTGGAGTCTCTTTCACACTTTTTCCAGAGAATAAGCAGTATTTTAGCTACCTTTTAAAAATATTCGTTAAGCAGCAACTTCAGTAACAACAAAAGTCTGACAGAGCATCACATACCTTTTTCTTCATTGTCTTTTAGAAGCAATGTAACTTTTTGGAAGGTTTTAATGACTCGATCTTTGACCTACTCTAGCACATAATTAATTAGTGTGAATGCTTTTGTGCATTTTTGCAATTCAGGGTGCAATCCTATCTAAATGAAGCATCTAAACACAGAATCCTTAGCTATCGCTTATATGGTCTGATTGGGTTAGGGATTTTTATTTTTTTTAAATTTGGAATGCTGTCATGCTAAGAAATCGTTACTAACGTCATTGTTATTTATTATGAAAGGCATCTACTAAAAGAATTTGAACAGATTGAGTTCATATAAAGGTGACAAATGCCCCCTTTCCCTCCTCCTTCCCCCCAGAAAAGACAAAAACAGTCCCCTTATAAGCTGGGTTTTTTGGTGTTTTGTTGTTTTTTTTTTTCCTGTTCTTCATACAATAAATGAAGTAAGCTGAGGCTTTACTGGGCCATTAGTAAAGCCCCTACCACAAGGTCTATTCGCTTCTATTTGCAAACATTCTGCTTGCATTTCCACATTTGTTAGAGTGCTACTCCAGCCCAGTTTCCCCTTCGTTGGAATAAACCTGAGCTGCATGCCCTTAGCCAAAGGAAACCTTTTACTCAAGATCACATTAATCTTCAATGAAAAGAAACACACTGATGGACAGAAGCCGATCTTGGAACACATAATATGCTGTCAGTGAACTCACATTTTTAACAGATGAAAACAATTGTTAAAAGAATTAAGGAAACCTTTGTGTTAATTTCATCATCTCACTCAAGCAATGGTGGACATCAGTTTCTTGCATTTAAAGGATGGTAGAATTCCCTTCACTCAGCAATTAACCTTGTAACGAAGCCAACCTATCTTCCTTTGCACCTTCTCAGTTCAAGCTAGCCCTTTCCGTTCCTTATTGGCCTGACCACACATGCCATTCTGTCTGCAGGTTTTTTGGATGAAATGCTTGTACTTCTCAGTCAAGATGTTTACATCTGTGTACATCTTACAGCTTGAAGGAGTTCCCATTGCCCTGCAAATCATCTCACCAGCACAAACTTCCCTAAACCACTCTGCCTCCCTCATCTTCCTGCATTGCTTCTCTTTCCTTTCACTGTCTCTCAGATCTCCACAGAACGTCCATCCCAGATTTTTTTATGGATGCTTATCTGTGTATATCAGAAATAGCGTTGCACTGAATTAGGTATATACTTTAACTTTGATTCCTTCATTGCTTCTTTTTTTTCTCTCCCACCCTGCCCCCTGTAGCTACTTCATGACTTTGGTGATAAAATTCACCTTCATCATATAAACCAAAAGTGAAATTCATTAGAATTTACCTAACAACCCATCTGCTCCTAGCCTTGTGATAGACAGGGGTGCATTCAAACACTTTTGTTTAGCAGATTTTTTTATTCAACAGTTTATTACCACAACAGCAGCAAACATTCAGTAACCAGCAGACTGGACACTACAGGGAAAAGCCAAAAGGACTTTTTGATATACTAGCAAACCAAAACATAACAATAAGGACTAAAGTACTGATCTAAACCCTGAAGTTACAAAATAAGGACTACCTCTTCCAGCTGCATGTAGAAACAATGCAAAATGGACCTGAAGTAGTTAAGAACACCAGCAACAATTACTGCTTTCTGAAGAAATCTCACCTATCAAACTGAAGCATTATCTCTACAGTAACTTCCTCTTAACTTCAGGAAAAGGAAGCAAACAAAGCAGCAGAACACTGTTGCTTCCATGCTTTGAAGAGAAGGCAGCTCCCTTGGGTGTGAATATCTCAGGAAATTAAATCAGCTCCTTGATTCTACCTGTCTCTTAATTACATCCCAGTGTATCTCAGAGGTGGCTAAGAATAGAACTCAAATAACAATCTTTTTACTTAATATTTCACAGACAGTTTCTACCAGATTCTGACGGCAGCATGAAGGTTCAGTTTCTGTGGGAGGTCTTTGTTCTTTTGACATGTATTTAAACACATATTTTCAATACGAAGTGCAATTTTTATCCAAAATCTATACAGCTCCTCCTACTAGTCTAGTATTACTTACCTACACAAAAGCAGGAAAATGCACTTGACTGTGTTTAACTGAATTAAACCTCCATGTGAATATTTTTATTCATAATCCAAGTGAGCTTCATTTGATTAACTCTCTTTTGCTCCTTTAAAGCAATCGACATACAATTAAGCCCCTTTGATTCTACCTAAGTAAACATTTGAGTTTAGCATAATCCATTTAACCCACTTACATTCAAGTTAGTTTTCCTGCAGTGTTCCCATGTAGAAAAATTTGAATATTCTTAAAATAACATAATTCAATTGAGTGGTATGCACACAGCACTTCAAGCATATCATCTACATACAAGAAAAGCAAAATCACTGGAACTCCTACTAAAAACAATGTCACGCTTTTAATCCTTTTCACACTTACCTTTCTCACGTTATAAAAGTCTCGATGGGGATTACTCTTTAGTTCTTTAAATTCCGACATTTCATTTAACATCTCGTGTAAACTAAATTTAGATTCTAAAAAGTTAAGCCTCCGATGACAATATGTTTTTCTGTAAAAGAAAAGACAAAAATTAACTGTAACTTAAAACTACTTGTATTTCATTTTCAGAAAGAACTTGAAAGTTTTCACAGTAAAAACTTTTTTTTTTTTTTAAATGAAGACCAAGACAAATCAATTTTCTTATGCTGCTGGTTAACCAATGTATAAGTCAATATCCAATACAACTTCAGACCAAAATTATTAGTGAAACCTCAAATAGAAATCTACATAACTGTGTTAGGTCTTTTAAGTCGTACAAGTATTGTTAACATAATATCTCTGCATAAACTACCTTTATAATACTTTATATACTCTTTTAGTACTTTATATAGTACTTTATTTATAGCACTTTATTTAGTACTTTATATACTCCTTTAGTAATGATGACCAAAGAAAGCATAAAACCTATTATGAAATGTGATGTCAATTGCTACTACTCTGAAACTATACTCCAATAGAGCAGATCACCTTACATATAACAGAAACAATCTGTAATCCAGACTTACTCACTACAGAAATATTTTTTTTTAAATTCCACAAAGTTAATTTCTTTTTCAATGTGAATATAAGAAGCCAAGATCTTTCCTTTTCAATGCCTTAAAAACACATACATTGTGTAAAATACTCCCTCCCCCCCCCCAAATAATTTCTTGTGCTCTTAGAAAAATCACGCTTTTTTGTTCCTGCTTGCCTACTCCTGTCTTCACTTTCTTCTTCTGTTATGTTTCTCATTCTATTTTTAACCAATGACATGGTTTTTCTCCTCACCATCTGTCAATTCTTATTGAATCTAAAATATTTTTGGAGCACTATTAGTGTAACAGTCAGCCTTTTTTTTTTTCTGCTTTTACTGTTGACAATCTCTCCTCACTGGAACACAAATCCCATAATGGATTTGAAAGTCCTGTTCAAACAGTCTTACTGTATCTGATACCGATCAAGACCTGATTGCCCGCTGCAGGAGGTCTTCGTTAGGTTACAGTATTATTCAAGAGACCAGAAGACTGAGGGTAGGGGTGAGATCTCACTAGTTTAAGAGCAGCAAAGGTTAAAGAACAATGGCTTCTTGATCTCCAAGCGGCCCCATATGCAATAGACCCAAATGACAGGAAAGCACTCACTGCAAACAAGGAAACAATACCGTATGAAGAGCTTGTGCAGCAGGATTACCAGAAAGACTTTTTCCTTTTGGTTTGTGTGTATTTATCAGGGAGTGTGAATCAGCCTGCAAAAGCTTAATCTGAAGAAGTGAAAGGAGCAGATGATTGCTCCTACAAACATGAAAGCACTGAGTGTTTAACATGCCCTACCAAGGCCCTTCTTACTTAGAGCTTCCCGATAAAGACTGTTAACAAAAGCTGCAAAAAGGGTCTTCAGTGTAACTTTTGTCTCAGGTTTTTCCTCCTCATCCTTTAAGCTTCTCTATATCTGACTCTTGGAATATAACACACTGAAACTGGAAATGCATTTACCCATTGCATACTGTAAAGAAGCATACTCAAGCTAGCTTTGATTTGGAGCAGGAGTGCTGATAACGCTGGGGAAGCACCAGCTTTTGCTCTTGAAAAAGCGCTTAGGGAATGGGACAGTTCCATTCAACCCATCTGCTCTGCACTATCAATGCACAAGGCAGATTATGCTGCAGGTGTCAGACAGACTCAAAGGGGAAGGAATGCATCAGGTGTGACTAACGTGTCACATTGTAAATAATGATCTCTCCAAGGCAGAAGGACTGGGAATGCAGTGCTGGCAGGCAGGGCAAATAGTTCGGAACAGTCCAGGTTCCTGCTTTGTTCTATCCTAGGGTGGATTCTTCTCTTTTCCTGGTGTTGAGGCCATGAGAAACCTTGATGTTTCCAGTCCTTAGCTGGGAAGTAAACTTAAAAACTGGATGCACACGTTTTTGTTATGCAGTGGGCAAGGACACTGATGTGTCATGAGTGTATTAGTGACTGTACTAGAGTTGTTGTATTTCTGGTTTTTAGAGATTTCCCAGGAGTTTTGATGGTTCTGGGAAATTTCAGACCTTTTTTGATTGTGCATACGTGGGTCAGTGCAGCACATGAGCAGTTAATTCACATGTAGAACAAATCAGACTGAATATTTATGTTGCTGAGCTGTTCTGTATGCTCTACATAAGCAGGGTTTATCTTCACACAGCGAGAGTAGAGCAGACATGAAGGAAATCCAGACAACTGTTCAAAAACCTCAAATTCAGCATAGGCCAAAACAAAATAAAAAAGGCGAGGTTCAAGTTTCAGTTCCCATGTCAAGACGTTTAGGTCAGATTTGACTTGAATGGGAACATTTGGACAATTTCTTGCTTTTCTGTTAACTTCTCATTTTGACATGGTTGATGTAAAGAAACTAAAGAAATTAAGTATAGCCTTTTTCTTCCCCCCCCCCCCACTCCCTAAGTCTTTCTGTGATGCATTAATGCTTGAGAAGGGCAAAACAAAACATTCCTGTAGAATGAGTATGTTCAGGAATTAAATATCACAAAAGTGAGAAGTATTAAACTAAAGGTAACCAGCAGCCTGAAGGGGTAGAGAAGAAAGAAACGTACGTTGGACCATCTGCAATTAGAGCAAGAACGTGACTCAGGTCAAGGGTATAGGTTTCCAGGTCAGGATATGGCAGACTCCGAGGCTCATTGAGTTCCATCATTTCTTTGTTGTCATAAACAAAGGGAATGCCACCTTTTATCTTGACAACATAATCCAAATTGTCTGGAGCATCATCAAGATTGTAAGGATCTTCATTTTCTTCTGGGGGTGAATGGAAATCTGGAAATAAATTTACGTTACATTTAGAAGAAATAACTTACATGAAAGGCAAAAAAACTACAAAAAGAACTTTCTGTTTCTATAATGCTTGATTTCTAACAGATCTTAATACTTCATTAAAATTACATTTTCAGTTACTATAAAAGATTTGTTGTTACAACACAGCTTTATTCTGACAGACTTTAATTGCAGTTCCTCTCTAAGCTAAGCGCCTACCTTAATTCAAAGATTATACATTTTTAGAGTTGTCTGAACCAGTGTATACATAGATTTAATACTATTCTTTATTAATGTGTGATGGCAGAAGTTTCAAAATAAGTTTCCAGAAGTATCTAAATTAGAATGGTTGTAAGTGCAGTTGAGACTTCATACCCACCTTCATTATTTTCATTTTAACTTCTGACTCACTGTAGTAATTTTGGAAGTTTGTATTTAAGCACACAGTAATGCAGCTGTTCTTATATTGAAACATCAGTCAGAAAAGAAAAGGCAGTGTCTTCTTTGCCTCTGCCCTTCCCACCAAGCTAGACTAATACATACATACTAGGACTGTTTCTTCTTTCTTTCGACCATCAGTGAATATACTTCATTCATGGTAGAGCAGGAAATAAACAATTTAAGACTCAGTGCTTCTCACTCTGACCAAACAGTTGTTGGTTTGTAGGTTTTTTGGGAGTTGGCTTGGTTGATTGGTTTTGTTGTGTTTTAATTGGGGGTTTTTTTGTTTGTGTTTGTTGTGGTGGTTTGTTTTGTTTTTAACTAAAACTCCTTATTTTTTATGTTTGTTTGCTTTTGAATGAAACTAAGAAGGACAGAAGCCAGAGATAGTACCACACAACTCTAGTTTTGCCCTTGGCCTTCTGATCATGACCAAAATCAGAAAGTACCAGAAGCATGGTTGGGATTTGTTCGGTACAGTTTTGCAATCCCTTTACAAAATTACAGGTTTTTTTTCTGGTAATCAGGTAAACACACAAACATCTGGGAGATTCAGCTAATGTGAGCACTCAAACTTTATCACTCATACTAGTGAATGTTCATAGCTTCTTTGACAATCTTACTAATGCAACTAGCATAAAATGTCTCAACTACATTTATGTCAACTGAACTACATTATTGGGCTCAGTCTTCTCACTGAAAAGTAATTAACTAGTCCTTTTATTCACTCAGATCACCTGAATGTATATAAGCTGATACCATTCTTATCTATAATATTCATAACTATCCAGCTCAAACTTGCGCTAATTAAGACATTCTGTAATGAGATTCTATTGTTTATGTCATAAATTAAAAATCATAACTGTAAAAAGTTATTAACCTAATAATAGCTTGGAAATATCCCCTGGCAGCTGTTCCAAGATATCTTTCTTGATTATTCAGTACACTGTCTTCCTTACACCCTTTCTGTATAACAAATGCTTAAAAACAGGTTAATTCACCCTCTTTCAACCACTGAGCTAAAGGATAATTGGTTTAAAATGTCACTTGATGGCTAAGAATACATTGCCAACAATATGGACGCATCTACAGTGACACATCTGTACAGACCAAGGTTGCTCCTCACAGACTAATCCAAAAACTAGCAGTACAGTTTAATGCACAAGCAAAGCTTTCAAGACACAACCCACCTAAGTGACAATCATTTATGACATATATAGTGGGGAGTATGTTCAGCCTAATAAGCTTTGCTGAGAGTACAGAGGTTATTAACCCAGGCAGAATGCCCAACAAATATGACTATACAGCTTCCAATCTTGACCTGGTAAGTGTACCATGCCTGTGAAATGACTGACTCGGGGCTTTCTAACTGGCATGTCTGTATTGTGCTTCCATTTACTATGTAGATGAGCTCATAATCCTTTTTATTTCAGTATGTCAAGATCAAGAGGAATTACTTTTCACTTTAAACCATATCTGTAAATCTTTCCTGAAGGAACACAAGTGTATTACCTACCATCACTTTTGCTGGAAAAAAAAAATATAATCAATGAGCATCTCGTTTGTTTTTAGCCCTTGACAGCTTCAAAGTTTCAGCTTAGACATGGGATATATAACTTTGGTCCATCAGCAATTCTCCACCACTTACTAATGGACTAAATTACAGAGGCAAAGACACTCGGAAGAGATCATCACAATATTTTAAAAATAAGATATTCACCTGGATACACTTCATCTTCAACCTTCCATTTTTCATCTTGCATGCTACACAAATACTGAGATGTTGTTCTTGGGAAGCGATGGTAGGCTAGACGTGAATACTTTTCTCGAATGAGAAGAGCTTTCACCAGACTCTTGGCAGCTTGTTCATAATCATCAACGGTAACCTGAAAGGAAAGCCTGGATAAATACTGACAAAAAAAGGATCAGCTTTAGCAGCAAACTGAATCCACACTGGTAACAAGGAGAATGAATTTCTATAAATGTAAGTGTACATGGCTCGACTGTAAGGATCTTACCCAAGGTCTCAGGAAACCAGTGACAGAAGCAGAATCAAAACACAATGTGCAAAACACGCACATTTTTTTCTCCTACCATATGTTACCCATTTATTTAATGCTTGATTATATTTTGATCTGTTAATTTATTTTTTATGATAAAAAGTGTAAACCAACCTGACCTTAACTGTTTTACAAACCAATTTACAGTTTGTTGCAGAGCACCATAATATACTGGCATTTCACACTTTATATACATTAGCTGCTTGTGGTTTGGGATGCTTTTCACCCCTAGATACAGAAATGGGGGGGGGGGGGGGGGTTTCCCTGCACAGTAGTCCCCGCTAATTGAAACCCTCTGAAACTCTGGTACATCATATGGCAGTTGGACTGGCAGAAAAGCACTTGGAAGAACTGGCGTTGCAGGAGACAAAACAGGATTGGCTGATGGTGCTTTCCATTCCTGAGATGGAATTTGTAATGACAAAGACTGGGATCGAATCATCTTGAAACTTTTCTTCCTATGAATTCATGGTATAAACCATAAAATAAGCCATAGTATAAAACATTAAATACACTGGAAAACTGATTACAGCAAAGAAATTACCCCCTAAGAAATTTTACAAATTAATCTCATACCACATGAAAAATGTTGGTCACAAAACATTTGTGCTTTTAGCTTTTTTTCTATGGACATTTCACAGGATATATGCTACACACAATTGCACTTACCCTCCACAAGAATACAATATGCCATAATTTATTTACAATCACTGTAAGATGCCCTAAGGTTTGTTTTGTTTCTCTCCTTACAAATTCAGTTTCAGCAAGTCACTGTAGAGAATGAAAATGTGATCACTGTGCTTATTTTAGTAGGAGTTAATCCTTAGAGACTGGTAGCATCAGAATTCTTGAAGTATCAGACAGAAACAAGTGAATGTTACATACAGTAAGTTGTTCTAAGTTATCATGCTATTACACACACTTTTAATTCTTCCCAAAACATGCAGGATTTAAAAACTCATCTATTTGTCAGACAAGACTATGCATCAACATTTCATATATAGTCATTCAGTTAAACTTGTAAGAAAAAGGATGAGCACATAGTTATCCCTCAGGCACTGTTTGATGAGACTTGAGCAAAAGGCTAATGTTGGTTATCAGAGTAATAACATAGCATGGCATTGATACACAAGTCCATTCCTCGCCTCAGGGCACTACATGGCTAACCTCTAACTGTGATAGATGTGTACCTTAGACAAACCAGCTAAAAAAGAATGCTGTATTTTTCAGTGAAGTTTTTTAATTCTCTAATTCTCTAAAGATTTAATTTGTTTTCCTTACTCAGTTTAAATGTATTTAAATGCATTTTAAATAGCCATATAATAAATAAACCTAATATTATAAACTACCTGTGATATCACTTACTTTTGCACTGTGGAAATACTCCCTCATTTTATAAACTAGATGCCAAAACCTTAAAATATTAATAAGAACCAGTAACAAAGAAAAAGGAATGCTGGAATACTCTCTGGAAGTTGTATATTACTTCTGCGACATTCTGCAGAAGAACATGCAGCACTGGTACAATCAATACCCTATGACCAAATTCCATCCTCTCTTAAGTACTTGTAGCCACCTTTGAAATGAGTATGAAATTCCTGAAAGGCAGTATTGGATCAACTGCAACTGAAAACAGAACTTCTACTTGTGTAACTGTCCCTGAAGTACACTTCAGTCCTGCAGGACAGGTATGAATACTTGTTCTGTTGCCCCACATGTAAGCACCATACATATTATATCCCACTTCCCACAGTTAAACATGTACAAAACCTAAGGTACAGTTTGACAGAATATATTTCTACAAGACAATTTCCCAAATTAAAAGTGAAACTTACTCGTTCAAGAGGAAAGATCTACCAAATAGTTGTTTGAATGAAAACATCTAGTTTTCCCTTCTGTGCTTGTTTATGTCTATGAAGGTGCCAACTGGGAAACTCACTTGCACAATTCAGAACCAGAAGTCTCAGCCTGTATTATCAGGCTATCACTTTCAAAGGCTCCCTTGTTTGCTTGCTTTCTGAAGAGCCTGTACACATCCAAGCCATTGGTGTCGGACTGCTGCTTGAGCTCCTGTGACTCTGGGAAACAGTCTAGCCAGTTCGCAGAAGTTAAGATACTGTAATAGCCTGACATAAGGGTAAAGCTACCTCTCACAGAAGAAAATCATAAACCAAATCAAGTTTGGCTTCATTAGATTCATGGATAAACCAAAGGTGGACTGTACTTTTTTTTTTTTTTTTTTGAGAAAAAGGCGTGATTTTATTGCTGACAGTGGCTAGATTTTATCTCTGTGAGTTGAGGAGACCTACAAATAACCTCATTATGCCAATACCACTTTTCACCCTCTCCCTTGATGTTAAATGTTGAGTCTTTGCTTTCATCTTTTTTTACAAAGACTAAAAGAAGTATCATGCCACTGTCATTTTCTCTGTGTTAAAACTTTCTGTTTCTCTTTTTACATTAAAGAGTCTTAGGGTTGTATTCACTTCTACTCAGCTATGCTGTTTGTTATACTTGCATAAGCACTATCTATGCTATTACTGGAAATGCAGCTGAGACAACCTCACCAATCAAGCTCCCTGGGGCCCATCCCCACACCTTGTGCATGGCACGGAAGGACATCACACAGGTGCCCTTGGTACCTGCTGCCGACATTTCTCCTGAAGTAATAAGAGGTAGAATGTTATTTGCCAGATATTTCCATATTAATTCAAACTCACTTAAAAAACTATTTTCCACTAAGAAAGCAACTACTGAACAAACCTTTTTGCTGTTTCCACAGACTGTTGTTCTGCCAGTTCCTTCTGCAGTTCCCTTTCCTTGGCCTCTGTCTGCCCAATAGGGCAGTCTTCAGGCACAGTGAATAGTGACAAGGCATCTTTGCTGTCTTCTTCTCGAAGAACTTTAGCAAATACCTTCTCTGCTAGAAGTCGCACGTGCTCATCAACCTCAGAGATGTTCAGCTTTGGAAACTGTCTGGGCATCTCGGCTAATAAGGAAGACAGTTGACAAAGTTATAACTACAAGAAGAATAAAGATATATGAGAGTCTGGCTTTTTTTTGTGGTATGCCTATCAAAATTAAGAGCTTAGAGCAAGAGCAGAATAAAGTAGAACAGCTACGCAGAATTTAAACTAGTATGCAGTACACAAGAACCACAGGTATCCACTGGGCATTTTTACTTGTGGAGCTGTGCCAATTTGTGAGTCAGGAACTTCTTGGTATACTCATGAAAATTCTCAAGATACGTATGTGCAGATTTGCCAGCAGATTCCACTTATTTGCATAATCAGATAGACGATTATTTGCAATATAATGTATGTACTTGCACTGAACGTGGAAATCACATTCACTCAGTTCCCTGCTCAGTGACTTCAAACTGATTTTAGAGCCACGAGCAAGTGAGAAAAGAAGGTTGCACATTTCTACCTCAGCCCATCCTTTTCACAAATAAGAAAGTCATGGTCCTGCTGTGAAATAAAATGGTTGCACAACAGGAGCAAATACGGTGTAGTTAACTCAGCGACTCGTTTTCAGTTCATATCCTGCTTTTGAATTGTATGTGGGAAGCAGATAGGATACGGACTTTAATTTCTACTTGTCGTTTAAATAGTGGTTTTCTAAAAAAATAGGTTTTATATTTTGAATTCTTATTTAAGTAGCCTTTCATCACATTTCCATTTTGTTGTAACAGCACTACCGAAAATACCATCTTTAGTGTTTCTTCTGTAGTTTCAAGGCTTTATTTATATTTCATTCTCATACAACCCAAAACATTAATTTTGACGTATCTGGTAGCATTCTGGAGGGAAAAAAAAATACAGTGCTTGTAAGCTACTGACCAGCATTATTTATTATGTACTATATTTGTTTGTAACAAATAAGATTAAATTCTTATTATACAAGTTAAAAATAGCAATGAACATGTCACAATAAATGGGTACGAGCGCTGCCAGAATGTGAAGTCTAGGTCTAAAACTGGCATTTCAGAATCCTTTTTGGTTACAAAAATGCAAGCATATTTAAATGAATGCTATCTTATAAAATAATGATGTATGCTGAAAGTCAGTATGGCAGTTTTTAATCACTCTAGGCATAACTCATCAGGGCCCCCATTAGTGTTTCTGTAGGCATGCTGCAAGTTTCACATGTTGATATGTGATCCTTTTGATATGTGATCCTGTTGTTTTCAGCTTAAAAGATTTTCATGAACGTCCACCTGTTTTCACAGTTGCTTTGAGAACACTTTTGCTTTTATTCTAAAAGCAAATGTAGTATGAAAATGTGACAACAGAGAGATTGGACCATAACGTGGCAATTAAGTGATCATCTGCGTTGTTTTACAAGAGCCAATTCACAGCTCAGTGGAAAAACGTCACTGGTTTTAAAGAACTGTGGATCTGACTCTATGCAGTTTTTCTTCCTAGAAAGTATTTGTTTTGCAATTAGTGTTAAGTCTTGAGAAAATCAAGTACAGGTATACAACAAATATAAAAATACATACACATTTAGTTGAATGATTCAGTGACAATGCACTATGATGTCTTAGAAGCATCCAAACTTAGATTTGGTTTCTCAATTTCAAACCTCAATGAAGTCATGGGAGTCTTTCCACTGACCTCAATGAACACAGCTGTCAGCAACAGTAACTGCCATACATACAGCTGCCAGCGACAAGGGCCTTCCAGGCTGCTTCAGCCAGGCAGGAACAGTCTTTATAGTTACTCCACTACACTAAGAGTGCTAGCAATAATAGTAAAACATGGAATAACAATGTTTCTTCTGCTGCTAAATCAACAATTAAAATATTTTTCAGTACTAGCTGACTAGGACAGGAAAAATCAATTGGTTGTATGTTTATCATTGGCTGAGCATTTTCCTAGTATAAATTAACTTTTTCTTAGATAATTGTGGCCAGAAACAGAGATGCAGTAGGAAATACATTGCATGAGAAACCATACTGTATTTTAAATCATTGCAATAAGATAGTGAAGAGTCACTTGTATAGATACAAGTACAATCCGCTATTGAGACAAGAGGTTTTCTTCTTTCTTAGAAAACCTGATCTCATGTTCTCCACTCAAGCGAGAGACTAAGGCACAAAACCTTTTGAAAGGTAGGTTCAGCCACATCACTGCTAGCTTATGTCACTGAAATGAATTTAATAAACCTAAAATAGTCGTGAGGCAGTTCATGCAATACTCAGGCAAGCTGTGCCACCTAGAACTGGAAGAGGGATGAGGATCTTGTATCCTGTAGCTTTCTATAGCAGTGCTGTCCTTTACCCAAGGTGAGCGACTGGGAGAGCGACAACTAGACATCTTAATGGGATGGGGAGGGGGTACGAGTGCCTCCAGCAAACAGCGCTCTTTTCCTAAATGCCTCTCTCACGCAGAAAAGCTGCTTTGGTTGCTCTTTAGTTCCGCACCTTTGCGGAAGAAGAGAAAGCTATTTCTCTTGAAACACGCTGCATAAAGAAATGATGGAATGATTATTTTAAAAGCAATTATTGATCAGGAATTTAATGGGCTTGAATATATAATGAGCGCAGGCCATGAAAACAGCAACACCCGCCGGCTCCGAAGCC